CCACGGCGGGGTTGGATCGAGGGATGGACTGGATGATCTCAAAGGTCCTTTCCAACCCTGCTGATTCCCTGATTCTCAGATAACGTGGTGTCTCCTCATCTATGGGAGGCTCATCCACCCCTGGCGTTGTTCGAAAGGGCTTTTCCTCAGCGGGAATGAGGATGGGATGGAACTGGGATTACTGGGGTTTACTGGTGGGGCTGGTGACAGCTGATGTGTCCTCCTGTCCCCACCAAGGCCTTGTTGGGTTGGTCCATCCCTGCCTCTGTCTGTAGTTTGGGATTGGAGGGCACAAACCAGGATATTTGCCGGCGTTTCTGTCCCAGTTTGGATTTTGGTGTTGGAATTGCGGGGCTGAGTCAAAGACCTTGTTCTTCCCAATATTCCCTGGGACAGTGGAAGGTGTCCCTACCCATGGCAGGGTGGTCTTGAAGGTCCCTTCCAACCCAGACCATTCCATGATTCCTGTTTTAGCCCAACTTGTCTTTGTCTTTCCCAGTTTTTTCCCCCCATTTGCTGTTCCATTCCCATCCACAGGTTTTCCCATCCAGGGAAGCACTTGGTGTTCAAGATGGGGATAATCCCCAGAGGGACTGGATTGTTTTCCACCTCTGCACCCAGTGTTGAGAAGAGAAGGCTCCAGGGAGACCTTGGAGCCCCTTCCAGGACCTAAAGGGGCTCCAGGAGAGCTGGAGAGGGACTTGGGACAAGGAATGGAGGGACAGGACACCGGGAATGGCTTCCCACTGCCAGAGGGAAGGGTCAGATGGGATATTGGGCAGGAATTCTTGGCTGGGAGGGTGGGGAGGGGCTGGAATGGAATTCCCAGAGAAGCTGTGGCTGCCCCATCCCTGGAAGTGTCCAAGGCCAGGTTGGACAGGACTTGGAGCAACCTGGCTCCGGGTTGATGACGAGGGCAATGATTGGGATCCCCAATCCCTGTAATCTGCTGTGGGATCGAGGGGATCAGCGGGATCGAGGCTGATCCACCCTTGCCATCAGAGCTTCCCACAGTCCTCTCGCTGTTGAGGTTGTTCCTGGCTGAGAACTCCTCTCCTGCTCCCAAATTTGCCCTTGGAGCTCCTGGAGATCCCTCCTTGAGACCCCTCCTTGAGATCCCTCCTGAGATCCCTCCCGATCCTGTTCCGGCTGAGGTGGAGGGGCATTCCCAGTTAAACCACTGTGTGTTCCCAGTTCTCCTGCAGCTGGACACCTCCCGCTGTCCCAGGTTGCTCCAAACCCCATCCAACCTGGCCTTGGACACTTCCAGGGCTTGGGAATACCGCTGGGGATGGATCACCAGCCACATTCCCTCTCCCCACTCAGAGCTCTGTCGTCCATCCCATTCTTCTCCCATCGCTCCTCTTGCTGCTCCGCTCCCAGTTGGACAACTTGTCCAGGAGGAGTTCTTCCTAAAATCCCAAAAAACCCCATCCACCACCTTCCCTTCATCCACGAGGTGGATGCCCTTAGTGCAGAAGGATCAGATCCCTGGTCATGGTCCCAGTAGGATTTTTGGGAAGGAGATGTGAGGGGCTCACTCCGTGACATTGGTCATCCCAACCTCCAGCGGTTTCTCAGGTCAGGGATGCCTTTTCCCACGGAAAAGAGGGATTTTTGGAGCCGTGCCATCCCAGAGGATCACCACACGTGGGTGCTTGTCCTGCTGCTGCAGCCTGGGGTGGTTTTGGGGGAGCTCCCGCTCGGTTCTGGGATCTGAGGACGGGATAAGGGTGGGTTTGGGTTTCGCTGGATCTTCACTTCCAGCCCTGGAGCAGATCCTGCAGCGAGGGATCATTTCCACGTTGGGAAGTGTTTGCTTCCAGGAAACCCTTTGGCAGAGATTTTCCCTCCTGTCTGGAGCTGCTTTGGCTCCTCACTCTGTGTTTCCTCCATCCCTGCTCGCACCAGAGCCTGGATCTGCTCACACCAGAGCTGGGATTTGCTGATGGTTCCTGATTATCCTTATCCCTCTATTTTTCTCCCTCGTGTTTGGAAAGCACAATCCAGTTTTACCAGAGGTTTTTGACCTCTCCATTGAGTTTTTCCATCGTGACCGAGTTCTGAAGGCCTCTTGGCACGGTCCTGCTGCATTCCCGAGGTTTTCCCGGGATCCAGGGGCAATCCTGGCCACGAATCAAACGTTCAGCTTCTGCCTCCCGATTTACATTTTGTTCCTGCTCTCGTCTCCCTTCCAAGGGCTGGGAGATCAATGTACCTGTCACTCGCTGCTTCCCAGCCCACTCCAAGCAGGATTAACAGCAGGGTAGGGAACAGCTCGGCATTGACACTCCTGGGAAAGGTTGTGGTGGCCCAGGATTGAGGGTGGGAGAGACCTGGATGCTCCCAGGTCGTGACTTAACATCAGTTCTTTTCCCTATTCCAAGCTTTTCTATCCCACATCCTTTCCCAAAGGCAGCAATAATCTCTTGAATTTGGGAATCTGGAGTTCCCTTTGCTTTTTGAAACTTCCTGGTTTTCCCATCAGCGGCTGGACAGGATTTACCCCACCTGTAAGGTGGTTGTTCCCCTAATCCACCCCGAGCAGCATCATCTTCCACTTTCCTCAGGGATTTAGAGTCACAGAATGCTGGAATTACTAAGCTTGGAACAGACCTTCGGGATCATCAGGTCCAGCTGTTCCCCAGCATTCCCAAGTGCCACATCCACATGGATTTTAGGCACTTCCAGGTCCATCTCCCTCCAGCCCCTCTGTCCCAGCCTGTGGGGCTCGAGGGGGTTGTTGTGACCACAGGGCAGGACCCGGCACTTGGCCTGGTTGAGCCTCATCCCACTGGATTCATCCCATCTCTCCAGCCTGTCCAGGCCCCTCTGCAGCTCCATGACCTTCAAGCTCCTTTCCAATTTAACAGCTCCACAAGTGGAGTTTGCCTCGGGATTCTTTCCATGGGAATGGGAGGCTGGCTCGGGAATAGTGTGGGAACAGGAGCAGGGCAGGGATTCTGTCCCTGGGAGGCCACCCCTGGAGTGCTGTGTCCAGCTCTGGGCCCTCAGCTCAGGAAGGACATGGAGGGGCTGGAGCAGGGGCAGAGAAGAGCAACGAGGCTGGGGAAGGGACTGGAGCACAATTCCCATGGGGAGAGATTGAGCTGGAGCTGGGAGGGCTCAGCCTGGAGAGGAGGAGGCTCAGGGGAGACCTCAGCACTCTCTGCAACCCCCTGACAGGAGGGGGATGTTGACAGGGGTCAGGCTCTGCTCCCAGGACAAGGGGACACAGCCCTGAGCTGTGCCAGGGCAGGGTTAGGTTGGATATCAGGAAGAAGTTCTTTCCAGGGAGAGGGATCAGACCTTGGAATGGGCTGCTCAGGGAGGGGGTGGATTCCCCGTCCCTGGGGGTGCTGAAGCAGATCCTGGACGTGGCACTCGGTGCCAAGGGCTGGGTGCCAAGGTGGGGTTGGGGCACGGCTTGGACTCGATGATCTCCGGAGTCTTTTCCAAGCCCGCTTCATTCTGGGATTCTGGGATTCTGCGCTCGGGCTTCGCTTCCCCGCAGAAACCCCGAGCTCAGCAAGGCTCGGCCCCGGCTGATAAACGAGGCTCATATCCCCCCCCGAATATGATGCCAGCAGTTTTTTTTTGTACTTTGTCTTCCAGTGCGGTAGTAAAGTTTTTAATTAGGAAAGCTAATGAGATCGATTAGTCATTAGGAGTGACCTCCGGATCGCGGCGGGGAGGGGGGGGGGCCGCGTGCGCCGGGCTGATAACGGGGGACGCCGGGGTATTGTTTGTAATAAAAGCCTGGAGTGTTTTGATTTGAGTGAAATGTGCCACCGGGAATTCATCGCGCCGAGAGGGGAAAATTACAACCCCGGGAGCCTGTAATGAAGGGAATTAAACCAACATCCCGGCTAAATAACATGATTATCTACACAAAACCCCCTCAGCAAGCAAGTCATAATAGAGAGCGGCGGCTCTTCCGAGAGGCTCTTTGAGGAGGTGGTTAATGCCCGAGCGCTTCCCAAAGAAACCGCTCCGGCTTGAATGCGCCATCCAATTACTGCCGGGAATAGAGTTTACCGGGTGCCAGCCCGGTTTGGGAAGCAGCAGGAGGAGGAGGAAGGGATTTGGGACCTGTGTTTCTGGCCTGATGAGGTTCTGGGTTGATTTGTGGCAGCTCAGGCCAAAAAAAAAAAAAAAAAGGTGTGTTAATTGCGGATCCGGCCAATTCCCGGCTTGATGGTTCTGGGAGGTCGGAGCCGAGGAGGGAAAGGGTCGACTCGTGGTGGTGGTGTTTTGGGGAGGGGGTGGGATTGTGGATCCTGCCCCTTTTCCCAGTGGGAAGGAGCTGCTCTGGGGGTGTGGTTGGTGTTTGGGGGTCGTGTTTGGGGAGGTGGGGCTGTATCCATGAGGGGCTGGGTGTGTCCTCACATCCTGGGGGGAAAAAAGTGTCATGGGGAGGGGTTGGATGGGATATTGGGAAGGAATTGTTGGCTGGGAGGGTGGGGAGGGGCTGGAATGAAATTCCTAGAGCAGCTGTGGCTGCCCCATCCCTGGAAGTGTCCAAGGACTGGGTTGGAGCAAGCTGGGATAGTGGGAGGTGTCCCTGTCCATGGCAGGGGGTTGGAACGAGATGGTCTGGAAGGTCCCTTCCATCCCAAACCATTCCATGATTTTAGGGCAGTCACCACCCTCCGTGGCTTCCCCTGCACTCAGCACTGCTGAGGCCACACCTTGAGTGTTGTGTTCAGTTCTGGGAACAATTCCCTCCTGTCCTTCCTCAGGTCAGGAAGGTCTTGGAGGGGCTGGAGCAGGTCCAGAGAAGAGCAACCAGGCTGGGGAAGGGACTGGAGCACAATTCCCATGAGGAGAGGCTGAGGGAGCTGGGGTTGTTTAGCCTGGAGAGGAGGAGGCTCAGGGGTCACCTCATCACTCTCTACAACTCCCTGAGAGGAGGTTGTAGCCAGGTGGGGGTCGGTCTCTTCTCCCAGGAAATCAGCAGCAGGACAAGAGGGCAGGGGTTAAACTGTGCCAGGGGAGGTTTGGGTTGGATATTAGAGAGAAATTCTTTGCAGGGAGAGTGATCAGGCATTGGAATGGCCTGCCCAGAGAGGTGGTGGATTCCCCATCCCTGGAGGATTTTAAGATGAGGCTGGATGTGGCACTGAGTGCCATGATCTGGTAATCACACTGGGGTTGGATCAAGGGTTGGACTTGATGATCTCAGAGGTCTCTTCCAGCCCAGTTAATTCTGTGATTCCGTGATTCCCTGTTTCTCCTGTTTGCACATCGCTCCAGCATCCCAAGTTTTAGTGGGATGGGATATTCTCCCTCCTCTGGCCGAGAGGATGGGGCCAACCTTTCCAGAGGGAGTAACAATCCCGCTTTTCCTCCTTCTGAACCCACCCTTAACTTTATGGAGAGGATCTCCAGGGGAAACAAGTAGCCCTTTAAATCAGGTCTAAGGTGCAAACTGGGAATTGCAGGGAATGTTCCACACGATATCCCAGCGGGTGGGTCCTCCTGGGAAATGGAGAGTCCCGGGATGATGAGGGTCGGAAGGGATCCTAAAGATCGTTCAGTCTGACTCCCTGACACCTCCCACTAGCCCAGGTTGCTCCAAGCCATGTCCAGCCTGGCCCTGGACACTTCCAGGGATGAGAAATAAAGGATTAAATGGATAAAGGTAATTCCAGGGGGGATGTTGAGCATCCAGGTGTTGGTGAATCCGTGATTTCCCCTGGTAGAGTTTTGCTGAGGGGCTGGTGGAGCCAAACACCCCCAGGGACATCAGGACCTTCCTGTTCCCACCAGCCAGAGTTGTCCCATCCCTGACACATCCCAGGGCTCTTCCATCCCTTTTCCAGGTTCTAAGGAGTCGGGTAGGACCTCTGATGGTTGGAACGTTCTGTCATTCCTTGACTTAAAAACCTTAAAGGTCTTTTCCAACCTTATCAATGACATCACTGAGATCCCTCCTGTCCCATCCACACCCCAAATTCCAAGCCCTTTTTTTTTTTCCATGTGCTTCCTCCCAGGATCCAGCTTCCCCTTGGCGAGGAGCCCCCCGTCCAACAAGGTGATCAAGACCCGCTACAGGATCGTGAAGAAGAACGTGGCCCCTCCAGCCGTGTCCTCCTTCTCCAGCCCCATTCCCACCTGGAAGGCCAGGCGCCCCGGGACGTCCAGGTAACTCTTCCATCCCTGGAAAATCAATCCATGCTTGATTTTTTCCCGGTTTGTTTGGTCCTCCTTAATGCCAAACTTATTGGTTTTAAAGTGGGAAGTGGTTTTAATCATCGGGTTAAGCTCCTGCCGCCTGCGGTTCCCGGTTTATTCCCCCTTGGAATTGTTTGTTTCCCGTGAAGTGGTTAAAACAACTGGAAGGAGGAGGGATAAATCTTCCTAAATCAACTGGAAGTGTTTCCAGGGAGCATCTGGGAAGGCCAAGGGAAAACCTGGAGTCTGTGTTGGGGTGGAGAGGTCGTTGAAATAATTGGTGCTGGGAGAACAAAAAAAAGAGGATTTTGGAAGCGCTGGGTTTGGTGAAACCCCAGATTTTGGCTGGTTTGAGGTCGAGAGTGACTTGTTGTGCCCCTCAAAATGCCAGCAGGGTTGGATGGGATATTGGGAAGGAATTCTTCTGTGGGAGGGTGGGATGGAATTCCCAGAGAAGCTGTGGCTGTGGAAGTGTCCAAGGCCAGGTTGGAGCAAGCTGGGATAGTGGGAGCTGTCCCTGCCCACGGCCTGGGGTTGGACCTGGAGGGTCTTGCAGGTCCCTTCCCACCCAAACCATTCCAAGATTTCATGAATTAATGGAAAACAAGTCGTGCTCTGCCTGTTCCGCTCAGGTTCTTCCCTGAGCGATGAGAAGGGGGGGAATCTTCAGGAATGGGAATCAGGCAGGATCGGAGCGGGAGCCTCTGGAATCTGGCCTTGCCCAACCCAGCAGCGATTTTCCAGTGGAATAACCTCGGTCAGCCGAGAGCTCCCGCTCGGAGATCGTTCCATCCGTGTCCATCTCCCACTTCTGAGTGGGATCTTCCAGCAGGAGCTGCTTTTTCCCTGATTTTCCTTGCTCTTCCCGAAGCAAGGAGCTGCTCCGGTGCTGACTTTTATCTTTCTTCCCGACTGATCAATTATTTTAAATTATTATAATTATTTTAATTATTTTTAATGATTTTAATTATTTTTAATTATTTCTATTTTTAAAAAAAAAATTAAAATTTTCTTTATTTTTTTTACTTATCATAATGATAATATTTGATAACAACTTGATATTTTTCATGACCTCTTCTTAAGCCAAAAGCGGGAATTCCAACTGGTGGTGCCGTGCTCTACTCCCAAATTCCTTCCTGGCTGATCCTAAGGAACGACTCCTTCCATGAAATCCAGTTTTTTTGGGGATGTCCAGAAGTGACATCCCAGGCTGGGCTGGGATGTCTCCCTGTTGCCAAGAAATCCCTGGAATAAGGCGTGGCTTTGGGAAATGAGTGCCAGGGCGAGCCGTGGGAGGTGCCTGATCCCAATCCCTCGGGAATAACTTCCGTCCCCGCCGGCTTGCATTAAACTCTGCCCTGCCGCTGACTCGTCCTCTGAGGCGAGAGGTGGGAGTAGATTTGAAATTAATTTTCCTCCACTTTTCGTAATATTTTGGTTTTTAAAGAGATTTATAAGCGGCCCGGGGCCCATTCCTCCCAATTTATGAAGATAATTTCCCCCTCTCTCGATAAGGTTAAATTTACACCTGCCATTTCCATATTAATTCGCGTTCCTAAGTGGATCTAATTTTCTTCCCCTCCTTCCATCCAGCCAGCGTGGCCTTTCCTAATGCAATTCCCCCCTCCCCACTCCTCCCCTTCCCTCCCACCCCTTCTTCACTAAATCACTGTGATCGGGAGCCATGATCGAGTTAAATTAACTTAAATTAATTTACTTAATAAGAGCTCCGGATCGTTGTGAATGAGGGGAAGATTTATCGATCCTGCCTTTTCCCTTCCTCCCCCTTCCCTCCCCGAGGGCTGCTCTTTGCTCGCCTCCCTTCGCTCCCCTCGGCTTTGAGGGTTGGTCACCCCTTCAAAAAAATTGGAAAAAATTGGAAAAAAATTGGAAAAATTGGAAAAAAATTGGAAAAATTGGAAAAAAAATCGGAAAAATAGGAAAAAAATTGGAAAAATTGGAAAAAAATCGGAAAAATAGGAAAAAAATTGGAAAAATTGGAAAAAATTGGGAAAAATAGGAAAAAAAGGACGTCCCCCTTCCCTTCACGGCCTCGTTCCACCGGGAGGAGTTTTGGCTTCCGACCTCTTCCCTCATGTGGTGTCGGGAATTTGGGATGTCCAGAGGCAGCTGAAGCTTCCTGGAGCTGATGGTTAGAAGGGTGGAGCAGCTTTCCCACAAGGAAAAAGCCGGGAGATTTGGGATCGTTCAGCCTGGGGAAGAGAAAGGTCTGGGATGACCCTTCCAGGGCCTGAAGGGAGCGGAGAAGGGAGGTGGAGATGGAGTTTGTGCAAAGGCCTGGAGTGACAGGACAAGAGGGAATGGCTTCGACCTCACAGAGAGGAGGTTGGGATGGGACCTGGTGGGATTTTTGGGGGGGTCTGTGCAGGGCCAGGAGTTGGACCCGTGATCCTTGGAGCAGATTCCAACTCTGGATATCCAGAGGCACTTTAGGACACGTTTTTGGGAGTGCAGACTCCTCAACCCCGTGTTTAGAGACCCCCCCAACCCCGTGAGTTGAGCCCTGACCCAGTTTGAGGAGTTCTTCCCAAAATCCTGCTGCGAGCGTGGAAAACAAAAGTGGCTTCTCCGCAAACAACTCGTCTGGCGCCGCCGGGGATGCTCAGGCACGTCCTTCCAAACCCTTCCCAGCTCCTCCTGAGGGACAATCCAACCCCTCCAGCTCCGTAAATCAGTAAAGAACAAGCTAATCCAACGTTTGTCAGGGAAATGCCTGCTCAGGAGAAAGGGGCTCGTGTGGTTTAGGTTTGTTTTCTCGCTGAGCTTTGTTTTATTCCCTGTTTTTTGGGTTTTTTTTTTGGGTTTTTTTGGGTCTGTTCCGTGGCCTGGAGCGCTGAAGGGATTTGGGAGGTAAATATTTTCCTCAGTTGTCACCGTCCCTGGAGGTGGAACTGGGTGTGGCACTCGGTGCTCCGGGCTGGGGGATGAGGTGGTGATGGGTCAAAGGTTGGACTCGGTGATCCAGGAGGGCTTTTTCCAACCCAGATGGTTCTGTGGTTACAAGGATTTTTATCCCCCTGGTTTCAAGGATCCCAAATCCTTCAGGGTTTGGGGTTGGGAGGTAAATGGGGGGATGGAGGGTTTGGTAAAAAGTGGGGGGTGGAGGGTTTGAAACGGGGCTCAACCACCGTGGTGGGTTCAGGTGCCGCTTCCCGAGGGAAAAGGGATCCATGGCCGAGCATCCAAGAGGAGAAGGAACCACCAGCCCTGCAGGATTTTGGGATGTTGTGCCGGGTCACTTGGAGCACACCAACCTCCTTGTCCCACCCCTTCCTTTCCCTCTCCTGGTGCTTGGGTTTTGGTTTCCAGTTCCTTCGTGCTCTCTCCCTGGTTTTTGGGCATCGGTTGACCCAAGTTCACGGAATCATGGAATGCTTTGGGCTGGAAGTGACCTTGGAAGAGCATCCAATCCAAGCCCCTGCCATGAGTGGGGACACCTCCTGCTGTCCCAGGTTGCTCCAAACCCCATCCAACCCAACCTTGGACATTTACAGGGATGAGATCATGCAGTGCCACCTCTCTGACCGGCGAAGGTGGCTGCTGGTGGGGGTGGAGGTCACCATTCCCGGTGTCCCGGTGCTCTCCTTGGCTTCCCCCTCTGTGGGAGAACATTTTCCATGTCATTCCAGTGCAAGTGGAACTGTGGGTGCCAGGCCTGCTGTGCTCTCAGTGTGGAAGTTATCCCTGTCTCCCTAAATCCCTGGGGATTCCACGGGGGTTGGGTGAAGGTCTCGTGTTCCGTGTCCCCCCCGGTGGGTCCGTGATAATTCCATAATTCCCATCTCCGGTTCCTGCGGGACACAGAGCCGTGTGCTTGACTTGCCACGGCAATTCCATCGCTTCCCAGCCTTTTGGTTGCACTCCAGGGCTCCTTGGGAAGCTGCTGTGGGAATGGGATGGGCTTCACCCAACCTCTTGTGTGGTGTTCGTGGACACCGTTGGGAAGCGCCTGAGATCCGTCATTGGGTGTCGATTGTCCTACAACCCAACATGGGATTGCAGGTGGGGGGAGACCCTGCCAGAGGTCCCCAGAGAAGCTGTGGCTGCCCCATCCCTGGAATTGTCCATGGAAAGGGGCTTGGAGCAACCTGGGCTAAGTGGAAGGTGGGCAGGGGGTGGGACTGGATGACCTGGAAGGTCCCATCCCACGATCCCGGAGGCAGCAATGATTGGAGCTGCCAACTGAGGGCAGAATTTGGGATCATAACTCATGAGGGATGGAGCAAATCCATATTTCTCCTGCTCTGGGGGGGGTCATCTCTGAAATTGAGGAGAAAAAACGGGGAAAACTGTCGATGTCGGCTTCCCCGGCGGGTAATCGTCGGCTTTCATCGGCGTTCCCATATTTTGTGAGAGGCAGGGATGGGGGGGTTTGAAGGGCTCAGCAAACTCTCTCTCTCTCTTTTCTCTCCTCCACCCCTTTTCTTTCTTCCAACGATCCAGACCTTTCCTCTTGAAGGATCCAGGAGTTGGGATCCCGACCTCCTGCGGGTCGGTGTGGAGCTGACGCTCCACGGGGGGGGGGGGGAATCTGCAAAATCAAATCCTGACTTAATTTTTGGGATGTTTCAGGCACAGTTTTGTAAGTTAGTTACCTTGTTCTGATGATGCTCCAAGGTGAGGGGGAAACTGGAAAGTCCAGGCTTAAATTTTCTCATTTTGGGGGGTATTTTAAGGGCAGTTTTATAATTTATTTACCTCCTTCCGATGATGCTCCAGGGCACAAACTGGACTGGCTGGAATTGATGCTCCAAAGTAGGGGGGGAACTGCAAAGTCCAAGCCTGAATCTTCTGATTCTGGGGACATTTTAAGCAGAGCTTTATAAGTTATTTACCTCCTTTTGATGATGCTCTGGAGCACAAACCGGGCTGGTTAAGATGATGCTCTTGAGTGGGTGAACCTGCAAAGTCCAGACTGAACTCTCCCAATTTTTGGGGTGTTTTAAGCA